CCAGAGGATGTGTGACTGATTGTGTATTAGATATATTTTAAGGATTTTTTAAAAAAGATTTTATTTACTTACTTGAGAGACAGAGACAGGTCTTCCATTTGTTTGTTCACTCCCCAGATGGCTGCAATGACTGGAGCTCAGCTGATCCGAAGCCAGGAGCCAGGAGCTTCTTTTGGGTCTCCCGTGTGGGTGCAGGGGCCCAAGGACTTGGGCCATCTTCTACTGCTTTCCCAGGCCATAGCAGAGAGCTGGATCGGAAGAGGAGCAGCTGGGACATGAACCGGCACCCATAAGGGATGCCAGAGCCGCAGGTGGAAGCTTAAGTCTACTAGGCCACAGCAGTGGACCCCATTTCAAGGATTCTAACAGACATCCTTCCATCCTAGCTACTGATTCTTTCGGCCTAGTTCATTCCCTTGCACCACCCAGCATTATGTGGCAGGACCATCAGCCACTTGCTGCCCATCTCTTCCTTGCCTCTTCCCTCATGGATGCCAGTCACTTCTTACACATCAGCTCCTGGGAGGTCTAGGAGCAGTCTTCTGTGGGCTGCAGAGGCTTGAAAAATTCAACCCTGTCCATGAGCCTTACAAGATGCACATGTTGTGGGCTGCCATCTAGCTAGGCTTGGTCCAGGTTCTTGTCTCAATCACAAGAAGGAACTCAAGGAGGAGATGTAGTGATGTAGTAATAAAACTCAGCAGAAAAGCAAGATTTATTTACATGCAAAGCAAAACTACACACTCAGGAAGGAGTGCGGGCAAATGCAGGAGAGACAGTTGCACTCATGGGTTAAGCTGCTGCCTAAGATACTGCCATCCCATATCAGAGTGCTGGTTCAAGCCCCATCTACTCCACTTCTGATCCAGCTCCTTGATTATGTGCCTGGGGAAGCAGCAAAAGATGGCTTAAGTGATTGGGTCCCTGCCACCCACTTGGAGGGCCCAGATGGCGTTCTGGACTCCCAGCTTCGGTCTGGCCCAGCCATGGCTGAGTGGCCACTTGCAGATTAAACTAGCATATGGTTCGCCGCCGCGGCTCACTAGGCTAATCCTCCGCCTTGCGGCGCCGGCACCCCAGGTTCTAGTCCCGGTTGGGGCGCCGGATTCTGTCCCGGTTGCCCCTCTTCCAGGCCAGCTCTCTGCTGTGGCCCGGGAGTGCAGTGGAGGATGGCCCAAGTGCTTGGGCCCTGCACCCCATGGGAGACCAGGAGAAGCATCTGGCTCCTGGCTTCGGATCAGCGC